AAAAAAAAAAATAGTACCTCGCTTATTTGGAGGTACTTTGGATTTGATAAAGACGACGTTCTCCAAACACAGGTACTCTGCAAAACTTGCCGAACACTCGTGGCAACCACCAGAGGAAACATGACTAATCTGAACCATCATCTTCAATACAACCACAGAGAACTGTTTGAAAAGTTCCAGAAAGACAGGGCTAGCCAAACAAAGGTTGCTAATGTTAAGACAAAGAGCACCGCAGTCCAACAGCCGTCTCTGTATTAGAGTTTTTCAAGTGGGACTCCTTATGAGAAAACGTCAAAGCGCTACAAAGAAATAACAAAGGCCATTACACATTTTTTGACAAAGACATGATGCCTATAAATACAGTTAGCAGAGAGTGCTTCACCAGTCTGATACATAAAGTGGACCAGAGATACCGCATCCCCTCACGAAACTACTTTTCCCATGTCGCCATTCCACAAATGTACGAAACATGCCGCAAGACCGTCATGTTTGAACTGAGCCAAGCTGAAAACTACGCAAGCACTACAGTAAAGTTTCCTCTCCAGTTTTGACTTACATCATAACTACTTGGTGAGTGGTAAAATGATGAACAACTGCATTGAGATAATTTGCAGTATAATTTAAGTTATGTATTTAAAACTAATTCTAGAGACCAGGAAGGATGTCTTTCAGAATTCAAGCCTCAGAAATCTTTTTATGGGGGCAATGTTTCAATGTTAAAGTGCACTTTGTTGTTACACTGCTAATACAGCAGCTTTCTTTAAATAAAACTTGCAGTAAAACAGAAATTATGTATTTGGTTTTTTTATATTTATTTTATCGCAAGTCATATCGTTATCGCAGTATTGATCATAGTTATCGCACATCGCAGGTTTTCCTAATATTGTGCAGCCCTATTGTCATTAACAACTAATCATGTTGTGTTTAGCTGAGCTGTTGGTTAGTTGTGTTGTTCTATATTACCACTTAAGGATCTATGTTTTTTTTAAACATTTATTTCATTCTTTTCTCCTATTGCGTTATTCTTCTTTACATCTGGTAGGTGTGTGTATCTATTAGGGGTGCAACGATATTCGTATCGATATTGAACCGTT